TTCTCCATAATACTCCAGATGAATACTGTCCATCTTTATTCTGGAGTTCAAGAATTACCTACCACTTTCACTTTTTCACTGCCAACTATAAGTTCATGGAAACATGGAACAAAACAAATTTCTCCATATTGGAGCATGTCTGGACCACTGTTATTCATTACTGGAATTATGTGACTGTAAAGTGAGAACTCTTATTAAAGCCAGGCTGTGGCATGTGAAGGAGTTGTTTCTGCAGTAATCTGGCATGGAGCACTGATTATTTATTTATTTATTTTTTTTAAATGTTAGCCATCATGCTAAGATAGCAGTGGCACAGTTCAGATTGACATCAGATGTTGAAGCCAAAAAATTTATAAAAATATGTCAGGCATATCTTGATGGTGTAGAGTCTTGCAGCTGTATATGATGTCTACTGGGAATATGAAGACTTTAGATGTTGAGATGAGGCATTCAGTGAAAGCTCCTAACACCCGTATTTTGTAAAATAAAATAAAATAAGCATATTCACTACAGCAGTGCTTCTTTTCCTGAAGCTATTCATCAGATATACACCTTGGAAGTTTTCATGTGACCATGGACTATGAAATTAAAGGAGAAATGTTGGCTGCCCAGAGTCTGGTACTGCTTCAGAAAAACAAATTACTACCAGATAACTGGGAGTCAATTTATATATCACAATATGTAATGCCAAAGACATATTAGGAGGAAGCCACAGCTATGGCTCTTTGCTGCAGAATGCACTAGTGTTATGCCAGCAGCAATCCACCCAGATAATTATCTTATATTCCTCTTATGGTCAGGCAAGTAAATTATTTCTACCTTTATCATCCCATGTTGCTACTTCAATCAATTTAAGACCTCGACCACACTGCATTTCTCTAAAAATTGCAATATTCCAAAACATTTTTTACAATTACAATTACAATTACAACATTGTACTATAATGGTTGGTTGTCATGCGTTGACTTTCAGCAACATCAGTGGCAAAACTAGATTACTTTGCAGGACTGTTACACTGCTGTTGCTGGGCTATATTGGAGAACTACCTGACTCATTGGATGAAAACTCTGAAAACCCTTATCCTTTGCAAAGCATCTTTCATCTCTGACTCTGTACTAGACATATCATCATCATCACTGTCATCATCATCATCAGAATCAGAGCCCCACGCTAGGTACCATGTACATTAGATTTTAAATGAATGTGGTACTATTTTTTCCCCCCATTTCAGGAAATTTGGTTGTTAGATGTGAGGGATGTGTTGCTTTTGGGGGTGCTGGGAACTTTTATATTGATTTTTATGCTTTTTATTGTTTTATTATTATTTGTAAGCCACCCAGAATTATGATACATAATATGGGAGGCTATGTACATCTTTTTAAAAGCAAATAAATAACCGTTTCTAATATCTGTAAAATTGTTTCTAATACATAATATAATATAGTGGATATGATCTATCCAAAGTTAAGCACTCTTCCTATTCATTGATCTTAATGGAACATAACTAAGAACAAGTTTAATGATTCTCTTGAAGTATGATTGGCTTTTACTTATTTAGATTCTAAATAAATAATTGAAAATAACAGGATATTTTGATTTGAATAGAAATAAAAATATTAGAGAAAGTAAGTATATGCATATAATTATCAACTAAGATATTGCCTTTTCAAGTAGGATTCAGTCATATGCCTAATATAAGATTTCAGTCCATAGGTTGTAACTGTAAGTGCTAGAAACACAACAGTGACCTTATTGCATAACCCAGAACAAATGAACTAGTACCAGTGCTAAACAAAGTTAGACCTGTATTCTAATTTATTTTTCTCTTAAATTTTCCAGTAAAATAGCAGTTTTAAAATAATTTTATCCTTTAATGCTACAGGAATCTCTACTGTCATTATAAATACTGGCTTTGTTTTTTATGAAGTTTTTCTATTAAAATAATTAAAAAGATATCTGTATTATTTGTATAACTAGACAAAAATATGAAATCCTTTTCACGTGTGCAAAAATGAACGACATAGTTACAACAACTTTGTTGGTTAAAGTTTGCAGAGTTTTAATTTTAATTAAACAAGATGCAGATCATGACCTATGATGAATATGGAACATGCTATCCATCATCATGCATGTCCCTGGTTTTTACATGCTAAGGGTAGAAAGAAGCCCTTTCTATCTAAAGTTACCCCTGCATAATTGACAAAAATAATTTTTTCAAGTTTTGAATTCTTCTACATGGATACAAAATGCTCTTCAATGGAGAAGTTCATCCTCATCAGATGAGGGAGTAAGAGGAAGTGAATGGCCTTAGAAGTGGAGTAAATGTACAGCGCTGTTTTATTTATGTTGTCTCTTTCCAGCATGAAGGAGGCTGGAAAAAATGTAGACTTGAGTCATTGGGGAAATTGTCATTTAATTCTAAATGTAATGACCTGACAAGCTGAAAATGGGCAGGTGGGCTATAATACTAAAACAAATGCACCACACAATGCTCATGGAGGGGCAAAACTGAGTAAACAGGTAAGCTTGTAGAGTGTTCTGCTTGGTTCAGAGCAACATTCAATCTATATTCTGAGAGATAGAAGAGTTTGCTTAGATATAGTTCATGCATGTATATCCTATTCAAATATGTGAGTGAAATTAGTACATTATTAAGCAATACTAAAAGTAGTGTCCACTATCAGTAATACCATAAGCATAGTTACTGAAGCAAAGTCCTATGTGAGTAGCTTCAGAAAGCAACCTAGAAGTTTCTGACTGATCTTTCAGAATTGACTAGGAAATACATGACAATAGACAATAATCCTAGAGACCCTAGAAGGGGCATCCTAGACTGAGAGGATTGGTCTTTCTCCCATTCTGAATTTACCCTCCCCTCCAACCTGCCAGTCAGCCTCCCTAGATGGCTGTTTCTGAACTCATGAAGCCAGGAAGTACAGCAAAGACCATGGTAAAGCTGGGAGGAGGCATGGCTGGGGCAGCTTTGATTTGAAGGATCTAAAGTTTTCTCAGCATCTCACTGTGATATTGACCAAGTGGGAACTGTAAGCAATGAAAAACACACACACACACACACAAAATAGGCACTGCTGTTTTGATCCTGCTTGTCTGACACTGAAAAACGGTCCATGATTGAAGCACTCTGATTTCCCATTAGCATGTCCTTGTCAAAGTTAATGCAAATCCTGCATTCAGAAGAAAGAAAGAAAGAAAGAAAGAAAGAAAGAAAGAAAGAAAGAAAGAAAGAAAG